CGCCGCACTCAACAATATTCCAGCTATATGACGGCGGTCTGTAAATAATCGAGTCTGGACCAGACAATCCAGTGATTAATATCATGAGCATCGATCCACGCAATTGGGATCGATGACATGCATCAACCAAGTCAGCGAGCCCGACCACCCGATCCTGTTAGTCGCCTTTTACGACAAGCATAGTCACCTTTTACGGCAAGCATGGGTTGCTGAAGACCTACACTACCCCGGAATCTTCACGGGTCACGTGCCCAGGCGGCGTGGATCGTCGTTACAATATCAACCACTGGATTGTCTGTTGCATGCTAGATTAGTCGCAGGCCACTGTCATATAGCTGGAATATTTTGCCGCAATCAACAATATTCCAGCTACATATGACGGCGGTCTGTAAATAACCGAGTCTGGACCAGACAATCCAGTGACTGACATCATGAGCATCGACCTACGCAGTTGGATACGATGACAAGCATCATTTGTTTGTTTGATGGTTGTTTAACGACGCACTCAGCAATATTCCAGCTATATGACGGCGGTCTGTAAATAATCGAGTCTGGACCACACAATCAAATGATTGATATCATGAGCATCGATCCACGTAATTTGGATCGATGACATGCATCAACCAAGTCAGCGAGCCTGACCACCCGATCCCTTGGTCGCCTTTTTCGACAAGCATAGTCGCCTTTTACGGCAAGCATAGTCGCCTTTTACGGCAAGCATGGGTTGCTGAAGACCTATTCTAACCCGGATCTTCACGGGTAGCTGGAACATAACTAGTGCAGCCGACTCGATGCCATTTTTTCAGATACAAGTCTAACTGTTTCAACGAAGCTTCTGCGATTCGAAGCATTTTATAATACTTTTGTAAATAAAATTATTGCTTGACTTTTAGATCGAAAAAAAACCCCCATTTCCGAAAGCCTCTTAAGTAATGTCCAACATTAGACCTACACAGGACAACCTATTTTATGAAATCAAGATCCCGTGCTTCTGAAATAGACACTATGCACACGCGGCAATTTTAACGTAGGTGTATCACGTGATCTAGATGGGGAAATGACGTGCCGACAAGTATTTGTTGGAGTCGGGGTACATTATTCATTGTATGTCGCTACCAAAGTACCGTGGTTTCCTTCCGTCAGAAATAGACCCGGTTGTCCTTGCGGGTTTAATGGTTAAGGCCGTGTGTACATACTGAATGTCAACACGCACGCGACAAGATTCAGCCTCTCCGAGATACGGCGGATTTCAACCGTGTTCTCTGATTGTATCATGTAGACATGTGCACCCAAGCTAAAGTTAAGAACCTCACAATTTTTTTTGTAAACGTCAGATCATACCCGCGTCAGTTATGCATGAATATTTAACAAAAATGGAAACACTGCGAGGCTTGACGAAGAGTTTTTTCCACTTTGATCAACGAGTGTTGATATCTTTGATATCAAAAGACACGAGAGTGAGATTTTATTTATCATCCAACATCATTCTTCCAACTCATTCAGCTTGTAGACAGTAATACGCAATGTCTTAGTGTAAAAAGTACTGTTAACAGCTTCAGTAGCAGATTCATTAATGACATCATTTGATTGTGACGTCATTGTAACAATGTCGTCACAATGGTCTTCAAAGCATTGTGATGCAATTTCATTGCAGCGATATCTACAGGGCACTCTCAAAATTAGAAACAGGGGGCTCTTATTAGAATATAATTTTGTTGAAAAAAAAACCAGAGCTGAAAGATCGTAAATTTCGTGGCTTGTGCTGACAGCCTGTCATGATACAAAAGAAAAGTCTGTGTATATTATACACGACAGATATATTTTCCAAAATGTAATTGCCCATAATTGAGGGTGCATATAACACGAGTGGGTATTATACAGGAATAAATATGTCTTGTGTACATTGATCAATTGGAAGGGGTGCTAATTGGGATTGTTCACTAGCCAATATATTAGCAAATATCGCCGTGGGCGCTTATTAGAGCGGGGCGCTTATTACGTCGAATACGGTAAATATCTTTATATATATACAGCTCTTCTTTGGCCTTTTGTAATTTCTCTCTCTCTCTCTCTCTCTCTCTCTCTCTCTCTCTCTCCCCCCCCACCCTCTCTCTGTTTCTCTCTCTCCACACACACACTCACACAAACAGAGTCCAGATACTCGTGCTTGTCAAAACTCCTTTGTCCATATATATATATATAGGACAAAGGAGTTATAGATAGTAAAACAATGATAAGGGCTCTTGTACGAAACTTCTCATCTGATCTGATGGACAGCATCCCTGTTATAAACATACAGTTAACGCCTACAAGTGTGGAAGTTTATCCCCATCACAGTTTCACGTTTAGAAGCATCTTGCTAATTTTTCATTATTTCTGAATGCCTCCCCAGATACATAGTTGGCTGGCAACACGAACAACGATCCGCGCTATAGCGGGGACGTTCACTCAAGCTCGTCACATGGTGTGACCACCGTTATCCACCTCCAGCGTAATCCTCTCTTGTAGACCTGGGATGGTTGGTTGGTTGGTTGGTTTGTTGTTTAACGCCGCACTCAGCAATATTCCAGCTATATGACGTCGGTCTGTAAATAATCCAGCCTGGACCAGACAATCAAGTGATTGATATTATGAGCATCAATCCACGCAATTGGGATCGATGACATGCATCAACCAAGACAGCTAGCCAGACCACCCGATCCCGTTAGTCGCCTTTTACGACAAGCACAGTCACCTTTTACGGCAAGAGACCTGTGATGGAGTGACATTGTCGTATTGCCGTGCATGTTAACGCCTCTTTGCAAATTGAGTGGTTAGTTTGTTGTTTAACGCCGCACTTAGCAATAATCCAGCTGTATAATGTCAGTCTGTACATAATCGAGTCTGGACCAGACAATCCAGTGATTGACATCATAACCATCGCTCTACAATTGGGATGACGATGACATGCATCAACCAAGTCAGCAGGTCTGACCACCCGATCCCGTTAGTCGCCTCTTACGACAAGCATAGTCACCTTTTATGGCAAGCATGGGCTGCTGAAGACCTATTCTAACCCTCTATATAGATATCCAGAAGTTAAAAAAGGGAGCAGTCTAAAATATCAAAATCCTCTCTCAGATAATTTCACTGCCTACAACATTCTACTTTTGGTTTTCAAAAGGGAGGGTCCAGACCCCCTGGACCATCCCCTCCTCTGGATCCGTCAATGCCTCTTACGGCATGTATGGGTTGCTGAAGACCTATTCGATCTGTACCCGGATCTTCATGGGTCTCTCCTTTTCGGTAAAAACCAACGGTACGAGGGATGGCTGAAAAGTTCGGATACTACCTATTGGTTTGGTTTGATGTTTAACGCCGCACTCAGCAATATTCCAGCTTCGATTTCCGCAATTGGGATCGATGACATGCATCAACAAAGTCAGCGAGCCTGACCACCCGATCCCGTTAGTCGCCTCTTAAGACAACAATAGTACTTCGCTATTTAGGGCAATCATGGGTTGCTGAAGACCTATTCTACGATGTAATACCAAAGAGTCCTTCTTCAAATTATTCATGACCGCCTCCGTGGTCTACTGGTAATGCGTCCGTCAATCAATAAATTATTGTGAGGATGTCTTGAGTCTGCTGTTCTGAGTGTACTGGTTATGTCAGAAACCTGTGTTTGCGGGTTAGAATCCCATCTTTGCGTATGTTGTAGATTTGTCGACCACCTCCGTGGTCTAGTTGTAGAGCATCCGCCCGGAGAGCGGAAGGTCCGGGGTACGATCCCCGACCGCGTCATACCAAAAAACGTTAAAAGATGGTACTTGTTGTTACCCTGTCTGGCGCTCGGCATTAAGGGGCTAAATCAAGGACTGGTAGGCTCAGAGTCTGTATACTGTGTTTGAGTGGTGTAGTCATGTTAAACTGCGGCATGGTATCTAAGTGAGATGGCACTATAAATCGGCATCAGTCCGGACTAGTACAAGCAGCCACACAAACACACACACGTACATGCACGTCGCTATATAAGTGCAATAATCTTGGACGCGACGTTAAACCCAATTTCACCTCTCTTCAAATTAGTCATACTCCTGAGGCAAAAGGTGTTAAAAAAAAGGAAAGCGCGGATATGTCTTCATAAAGTGGTCAAAATATGTCTGTTCGAAGTGGTGACAAACAAATCGGAATAAAAAATAACTAACATTTACAGCAACAAAATCTAAAAACATGAATTGAAAGAAAACTGTTTCGATTACATTTCATTGCGTTGTTCAAACTGTTAAATTCAGTTGAGTTAATGATATCAAGTTCAATACGCGATGAGATCCAATCTCATTAAAATAAATCTAAGTTCTCGCTACCGCTTTATTTTTATGAGATTGTATTAGGACATGCATTATGTTATTTCTCAGTTGTTGTTACATATATATCTAAATAGTGAGTGAGTGAGTTTGGTTTTACGCCGCTTTTAGCAATATTCCAGCAATATCACGGCGGGGGACACCAGAAATGGGCTTCACACATTGTACCCATGTCGGGAATCGAACCCGGGTCTGCGGCGATATCTAAATAGAAGAGTTTTAGGATTGTCTGGTCCAGATTATTTCCGAAAAATGAACCGCTTCAGTTCCTCACTCGACTTTAAAATGTTTAGCGGCAGCGAGAACTTAGAACTGATTTTGATGAGATTGTAATTCACGCTTTGTGGATCAAATCCTTGCAATGTCAGAAGTAAAAAACCCATTGAATTATTTAAAAAATATTTAAAATCAGTAGAAGATATTACATCAATATTTACTTTTAAAATGTCTATTATTGTTTTTTTAAAATCACTGTTGTTTGAACCTGGCTACGAACTGGATGTGCTGACTTCACGGTCACTGGGCTCCTGTCTACATAAACTAAATGCGCTAAGTTTGCGGCGTGTACCTACAGTGAAACCCGTTTGGTGGTCACTGGAATTGAGAATTATTTCCCTTGGTGTGTTCATTGTAAAATCAACAGCTATTGGTTAGTTCTTGTACCGCTAGCCAATCAAATGTACCGTTACATACACAACCAACACACGCCATTTTGTTCGTCGATTTTGCGAATTTTCACGTGCTCAAGAACTGTGTTTTCAATAGAGGTACTCCACTCTGGCTGTATTGACGACTATGTCTGAATATAATCATCTAATGTCTGGTTATCAAAGCAATTTCCAATGGTTTCGGCTCAGTATCAATTCAAAACCGAAGAGGCAAATGTGCGTATCTGATTTGCCATGTTTGACTAAAATTTCCAAAAATTGAAACTTGCAGTAATCTTTTGGCTTTTACGATGATGCAACTTCACATCAAGTTGTAATTGTGGTCAATATGTTCTGCAATTGACGCAAGACAATGGCCACAGGATATTCAGACATGCCTCATTGCCCGAATTTACTGTAAACACAAAAGTGATGCTTGTGAAATGACTGAGTTAACTTGTATTTAATGCAACAGTGGAACATTTCCGTTAAAGCAAAGATGAGAGAGTTGTTGTGTTGTTTACCGGCCCAGGAAAACCACAAACAGGCGTATAAATACGTCAATCGAAGTGTAAAACCCCTAAATGTATTGTTGACACGCAGATCGGCTTTTAATATGGCTGAAAGTGTCGTCTGATCAGGCAATACAGATATGTACCCCAGGTACGTTTCTGTTCACAGAAATGTACCCTAGCCAAAATCCATATTAGTTCCCTAGAATGAGTCCATTTCGCCTCAGCCTTTATTGCGCAATGCCCCTTACCGGTTCCTTGAATGCTTACGTATACCACATATCCTGGATGCCAAACCGCACTAAAATTCAACATGACAGTACGCATTGTATACTTTTCACTCACTGTTTCCTTTCCATAAATGGATCGGAACTGTCATACTGTTGTATGAGATGCTTTCCAGTGTGCTTTATTAAAAGTGAGCAAATACAGTGACGTATGTACATAGTCCACGATGCACAGCACTATCCAGTATGCAGTCGTCATCAGGCGAACCAGAACTATAACTTGAACCGGTTTTGCTTTCGGGTTGAGGAACTTGTCCGCTGTTTAGGGTACCCGGTACCTTTCTGTATTCTGCTTTTGGTTAGGGTACATTTCTGGATACAGAAACGTACGTGGAGTACATATTTGTAGTACCTGTGCCGACAACGGCCCCTAAAGCTATAATATGATGTAACTTATGATATTTTAGTTACTACTCAATTCTAAGATGCAGAAATTGTCTCTATTGTGATTGAATGAGAAATGTTTCCGACTGCTTCAAATTCTGCCTGGGTCAGTGAATTTTCAGCGGTTATGACTTTACTACCCCGGTACCTGACCCCCTATTACCCGACCCACCTGGGTGCCCACTTTAGGTCTGAAGAGTTGGGATCAAAATGTCTGATTGGGAATTGTTTTACCCAGAGCTCCAGATAAGTTTTTGGTGTTGTGGGTATTTTACCCATGCATTTTAAAATCATTGGGTATCAGTAATTCTATCTGGGTATTCAAATTTCTGTTACCCACTATTTTTTTTACACATGTGGGTATTTAAGTTAAATATTTAACAACACTATTCATCTAGTCCCTGCAAACTGGTGTCATGTGGGTTAGAGAGCTTTATAGGACTCACAAATACCACGATACTTCCACAAGAAAGTGTGATGGCAAATGATCATGATGTAACTGTCATCGTGGAGTTTGGCAAGGTTGACGGAATGCCCATTTATCATTTCAAAATAAGTTGCTATTTCGCTAATCGAATACGCAGGGTTACTTCACAATATTTTAATGATACACACAAGTTTTAATTTTTGTAGCGTATCTGTAACGTTCGTTGCGTACTTGATACGCTTGGATTTTATTTTACTGGGTATTTCTGCATTTCTGATGCATATTTTACGCAGATATGCAGCTTATCTGGAGCTCTGTTTATCGCAGCCCTGGCCAAAACTATTTAGATACATGTATCAAACGATCAGATTATGCGTACACTAAAATTGACTGAAGCTTTATCTTTACTGAAACATAAACAAGTCAAAAGGAATGTGTGCATTGTCAGAAAGACATGCGAACATTAGCGACTTGTATGAGCTATAGTGAGTTTTTGTCATTAAACAATATATCACATGCCTATCCCAGGGTCCAGGTAGTCCTGTGGGTACCCGGGTCCTACTCAGTACCCATACCGGCATACCTCAGATATTTTTCCCATCTGATACCACCAATTAGTTGTCTTATGCCGATTCATCTTCCCGAGGCGACCCGTGAAGATTCCGGGGTAGAATAGGTCTTCAGCAACCCATGCTTGCCGTAAAAGGTGACTATGCTTGTCGTAAAAGGCGACTAACGGGATTGGGTGGTCAGGCTCGCTGACTTGGTTGATGCATCTCATCGATCCCAATTGCGTGGATTGATGCTCATGATATCAATCACTGGATTGTCTGGTCCAGACTCGATTATTTACAGACCGCCATCATATAGCTGGAATATTGCTGAGTGCGGCGTTAAACAACAAACCAACCCTTGGACGCTGTAATAGAACGGCCCAGGTAAAGCACTGTCCACTGAACCAGTGAAGCTGTATTTTTCGAAGACACCACATCTTCTTTTTCAGAGATGTCTCTATCGAGAAGAGAGTATGATGATCTGAAGTCTGTCTTGGACAAGACTGTGCACAAGTTCCTGGGTTTCAGTGAGCCCACGTTGGTTTCGGCTGCTCTGGACTGTATCGACCGAGGATATGACAGGAAGAAGACTGTCGGTGAGTGAATGTCACATGTTGATATGGTGGTCAAAATTACACAGGAATGTCAAGGGATCTTTGTCCTTAAGACCCGTGAAGATTGGGGATGGAATAGGTCTTCAGCATGTCATGCTTGTCGTAAAAGACAACTATGCTTGTCGTAAGAGGCGACTAACATGATCGGGTGGACAGGCTCGCTGACTTGGTTCATGCGTGTCATCATATTCCAATTGCGTGGATCGATGACCATGATTTCAATCACTGGATTGTCTGGTCCAGACACGATTATTTACAGACCGCCGTCATATAGCTGGAATAATGCTGAGTGTGGCATTAAACAACAAACCAAAAAAACCAAAATCTTTGTCCTTGACCTTGAGGGAGATGGGGCAGCCTCGTGGTTAAAGCATTTTTTGGTCGTGCCGAAGATCCTAGATCGATTGCCCACATGGGTACAATGTGTGTTTGTTTTTTGTTTTTTGTTAACGCTGCACTCAGCAATATTCCAGCGATATGACAGCGGTCTGTAAATAATCGAGTCTGGTCCAGTCTTCTGTTATTGTGTTATCTTCATACAGTACAGGGGGCACGGGTGGCCCAGTCGTCTAAGGCGCCGCAATTCGCTGTGCAGAGTTGCGTCCCTTGGGCACACCACAAACCTATGATTGTGGGTTCGAATCCCGGTTCGCCCTGATTATGTTTCTAGGTTTGTCAGCACCATACCCGTGCTCGTGGGTTTCACCGAAGTCATAAACGTCTGAGACCTGCATCACTTTGGGCTTTCCTACCACATTAAGCTGACGCCGCGATATAACTGGAATACTGTTAAAAGCAGCGTTTAACCCAACTCACTCACTCACTCACTCTTCATGCAGTATTTGTCTGTGATGGTGTTTGTCTTCATGCAGTATTTGTCTTCATGCAGTATTTGTCTGTGATGGTGTTTGTCTTCATGCAGTATTTGTCTTCATGCAGTATTTGTCCGTGATGGTGTTTGTCTTCATACAGTGCATGTTGTTTCCAGACAAGCTGACGGCCATGCTGGACACCGGTCAAGCCAGCAAGTTTGTGGACAAAGTGTTCAGTGTCTGGGAAGAGTACAGGTCCAGCACCAAACATGGCCGCACCAAGAAGAGAAAGGTCAGGATGGAAAACCTTCTTGGTCTCACTGAGTCCTCAATAGGGTGTAAACTGTTCTCAATGCTTCTGACCGGTGAGGGGGCGGTCGGGTAGCCTAGTGGTTAAAGCGTTCGCTCGTCATGCCAAGACCCGGGTTCGATTCCCGACATGGGTACAATGTGTGAAGCCCATTTCTGGTGTCCCCCGCCGTGATATTGCTGGAATATTGCTAAAAGCGGCGTAAAACCATACTCACTCACTCACTCTGACTGGTGAGGATTCCGGGTAGAATAGTTCTTAAGCAACTCATGCTTGCCGTAAAAGGCGACTAACGGGACCGTCCAGTGATCTTTGTCCTTAAGACCGGTTAAGATCCGGGATAGAATAGGTCTTCAACAAGCCATGCTTGACATAAAAGGCGACTATGCTTGTCGTAAGAGGCGACTAAAGGGATCGGGTGGTCAGGCTCGCAGACTTGGTTGATGCATGTCATCATATCCCAATTGCGTAGATTGATGCTCATGATGTCAATCACTGGATTGTCTGGTACAGATTCGATTATTTACAGACTGCCGTCATATAGTTGGAATATTGCTGAGTGCGGCGTTAAACAACAAACACACACACATATCATTCTACTCAATGATGTCAATTTACATTAGTTAAGGACACACAAAGAAAATAAGGGAGGTGTGTGTTGTTTTTACCCCAAAAGTAGCATGTAATAATTGACAAAGTTATCAATCTATCTCAATTGTACGCTGGAGGAATGGGGGCGGTCGGGTAGCCTAGTGGTTAAAGCGTTCGCTCGTCACGCCGAAGACCCGGGTTCGATTCCCGACATGGGTACAATATGTGAAGCCCATTTCTGGTGTACCCCGCCGTGATATTGCTGGAATATTGCTAAAAACGGCGTAAAACCAAACTCACTCACTCACTCACTCTGGAGGAATGAGCTTGGAGATCACAAGATTAACATAAAAGTGCTTCATGGATGTACAAAATCCTAGAAAATATTGCGCTTGGTAGTCATGTTATTTGTTTTGAAGACATGTCACCCAATGTGTTAGTTACGGTGTTGTAGTGTGCAACTAAACATGTGATAGAGGTATTCTAATGTGTCCAGTTCAGCAATAGTCCAGCTATATGATGGCGATCTGTAAATAATCGAGTCTGGACCAGACATTCCATTGATTGACATCATCAGTGTCGATCCATGAAATTGGGATACGATGACATGCATGAACCAAGTCAGCAAGTCCGACCACCCGATCCTGTTAGTCGCCTTTTAAGGCAAGCATGGGTTGCGGAAGAACTATTCTACCCCGGATCCTCACTGGTCAGAAGCATTGATAACTCTTTACACCCTATTGAGGACCACCTGATCCAGTTAGTCGCCTCTTACGGAAAAAATGGGTTGCTGAAGACCTATTTTACCCCGGATCTTCACGGGACTCTGCATACGTAAAATATTAATAGTTTAAAAAGATTAGGCATAGCATTAATAACACTATTTTCCGAGCAGCATAAAACATAACTCAACTCACAATGGTGATTGCTGCTATGTTGTGTGAACCACTAGTTTGCCTAGACTGGGGTTGATGATATACAGGGAACACTGATATAGATAGGACACTGATGATTGTGTTGGTAAGGGAGCTCTGACATGTTGCTATGGTTACAGGATGATGAGAAGGAGGAAGGCACAGAGCGAGTAAAGAAGCGGCGGTTCGCTGATGACACAGCAAGTGTGATTCCTGGCCCAGGTCAACCAAGTCCCGGACAGCTGACGGCAGATAAAGTGGGTACATGTGTAGACAGGTGTCTGGTGTCATGCATAGGCAGGTGTCTGGTGTCATGCATAGACTGGTGTGTGGTGTCATGCATGGGCAGGTGTCATGCATAGACTGGTGTCTGGTGTCATGCAGAAGCAGGTGTCTGGTGTCATGCATAGGCAGGTGTCTGGTGTCATGCATAGGCAGGTGTCTGGTGTCATGCATAGGCAGGTGTCTGGTGTCATGCATAGGCAGGTGTCTGGTGTCATGCATAGACTGGTGTGTGGTGTCATGCATGGGCAGGTGTCATGCATAGACTGGTGTCTGGTGTCATGCAGAAGCAGGTGTCTGGTGTCATGCAGAATCAGGTGTCTGGTGTCATGCATAGGCAGGTGTCTGGTGTCATGCATAGGCAGGTGTCTGGTGTCATGCATAGGCAGGTGTCTGGTGTCATGCATAGGCAGGTGTCTGGTGTCATGCATAGACTGGTGTGTGGTGTCATGCATGGGCAGGTGTCATGCATAGACTTGTGTCTTGTGTCATGCAGAAGCAGGTGTCTGGTGTCATGCATAGGCAGGTGTCATGCATAGACAGGTGTCTGGTGTCATGCATAGACAGGTGTCTGGTGTCATGCATAGACAGGTGTCTGGTGTCATGCATAGATAGGTGTCTGGTGTCATGCATAGACAGGTGTCTGGTGTCATGCAGAGGCAGGTGTCTGGTGTCATGCATAGACAGGTGTCTGGTGTCATGCAGAGGCAGGTGTCTGGTGTCTTGCATAGACAGGTGTCTGGTGTCATGCATAGATAGGTGTCTGGTGTCATGCAGAGGCAGGTGTCTGGTGTCATGCATAGATAGGTGTCTGGTGTCATGCAGAGGCAGGTGTCTGGTGTCTTGCATAGTCTGGTGTCATGCATAGATAGGTGTCTGGTGTCTGGTGTCATGCATAGTCTGGTGTCATGCATAGTCTGGTGTCTGATGTCATGCATAGACTGCCCATTTCTGGTGTCCCCCGCTGGATTGCTGGAATATTGCTAAAAGCGGCGCAAAATTATACTCACTCACTCACTTGTCTTTCAATACTCCTGCCAATAACCCTCGATTCCTTACCAATATGATAATGTCATGACACACACAGAAGTCAAATTTCAATTTTCTCTATCACAAACAGATCAAAGACATGATGATGAATGCCCAGAAGATGATTCAAGAGAGGAAGGCACAGATCCAGGCCACCATGCCCCCAAGCAACCCTGCCCTGGTAAGTTTTGTGTTGATGTCACCATGCCCCCTCCCAACCCTGCCCTGGTAAGTGTTCTGTTGATGCCACCATGCCCCCAAGCAACCCTGCTCTGGTAAGTGTTGTGTTGATCCAGGCCACCATGCCCCTCCCAATCCTGCCCTATTAAGTGTTGTGTTGATCCTGTCCACCATGCCCCCAAGCATCCCTGCCCTGGTAAGTGTTGTGTTGATCCAGGTCACCATGCCCCCAAGCAACCCTGCCCTGGTAAGTTTTGTGTTGATGTCACCATGCCCCCTCCCAACCCTGCCCTGATAAGTGTTGTGTTGATGCCACCATGCCCCCAAGCAACCCTGCCCTGGTAAGCGTTGTGTTGACCGAGGCCACCATGCCCCCAAGCAACCCTGCCCTGGTAAGTGTTCTGTTGATCCAGGCCACATGCCCCTACCAGCCTTGCTCTGCTAAATGTTCTGTCAATCAAGGCCACATGCCCCTACCAGCCTTGCTCTGCTAAATGTTCTGTCAATCAAGGCCACATGCCCCTACCAGCCTTGCTCTGCTAAATGTTCTGTCAATCAAGGCCACATATTCCCCACCCAATCCTGCTCTGGTAAGTGTTCTGTTGATCAAGGCCACATGCCCCTACCAGCCTTGCTCTGCTAAATGTTCTGTCAATCAAGGCCACATATTCCCCACCCAATCCTGCTCTGGTAAGTGTTCTGTTGATCAAGGCCACATGCCCCTACCAGCCTAGCTCTGCTAAATGTTCTGTCAATCAAGGCCACATATTCCCCACCCAATCCTGCTCTGGTAAGTGTTCTGTTGATCAAGGCCACATGCCCCTACCAGCCTAGCTCTGCTAAATGTTCTGTCAATCAAGGCCACATATTCCCCACCCAATCCTGCTCTGGTAAGTGTTCTGTTGATCAAGGCCACATGCCCCTACCAGCCTAGCTCTGCTAAATGTTCTGTTAATCAAGGCCACATATTCCCCACCCAATCCTGCTCTTGTAAGTGTTCTGTTGATAAAAGCCACATACGTGACACAAATGATAACCTGGCTATTGTCTTTATGAGATGAAATGTTTTGAATGAAGTGTGATACGTTTGTGCATTTCTTCCCCTACAGGGTACAGCAGGACTCATGACTGATGCCATGGACAAGGCGAGACGGGCCGCGGAGCTACAGGCCCAGATACAGGCCCGACTCACCGGGCTCAGTCAGTCCGTCCCCGGCCTGTGAGTAGCCCAACACAGCTGTCTAGTCCTCTCTGAAGTGAACTGATATCAGCAGTGTTAGGAGCTGTCTAGTCCTCTCTGAAGTGAACTGATATCAGCAGTGTTAGGAGCTGTCTAGTCCTCTCTGTAATGAACTGATAGGAGCAGTGTTAGCTGTCTAGTTCTCTCTGTTATGAACTGATAGAAGCAGTGTTAGGAGCTGTCTTGTCCTCTCTGTAATGAACTGATAGCAGCAGTGTTAGGAGCTGTCTAGTCCTCTATGTAATGAACTGATAGCAGCAGTGTTAGGAGCTGTCTACTCCTCTCTGTAATGAACTGATAGCAGCAGTGTTAGGAGCTGTCTACTCCTCTCTGTAGTGAACTGATAGAAGCAGTGTTAGCTGTCTAGTCCTCTCTGTAATGAACTGATATCAGCAGTGTTAGGAGCTGTCTAGTCCTCTCTGTAATGAACTGATAGCAGCAGTGTTAGCTGTCTAGTCCTCTCTGCAGTGAAGTGATAGCAGCAGTGTTAGCTGTCTAGTCCTCTCTGTAGTGAACTGATAGAAGCAGTATTAGGAGCTGTCTAGTCCTCTCTGTAATGAACTGATAGAAGCAGTATTAGGAGCTGTCTTGTCCTCTCTGTAATGAACTGATAGCAGCAGTGTTAGCTGTCTAGTCCTCTCTGTAATGAACTGATAGAAGCAGTGTTAGCTCCAGTCCTCTCTGTAGTGAACTGATATCAGCAGTGTTAGCTGTCTAGTCCTCTCTGTAGTGAACTGATAGAAGCAGTGTTAGCTGTCTAGTCCTCTCTGTAATGAACTGATATCAGCAGTGTTAGGAGCTGTCTAGTCCTCTCTGTAATGAACTGATAGCAGCAGTGTTAGCTGTCTAGTCCTCTCTGCAGTGAAGTGATAGCAGCAGTGTTAGCTGTCTAGTCCTCTCTGTAGTGAACTGATAGAAGCAGTATTAGGAGCTGTCTAGTCCTCTCTGTAATGAACTGATAGAAGCAGTATTAGGAGCTGTCTAGTCATCTCTGTAGTGAACTGATAGCAGCAGTATTAGGAGCTGTCTTGTCCTCTCTGTAATGAACTGATAGCAGCAGTGTTAGCTGTCTAGTCCTCTCTGTAATGAACTGATAGAAGCAGTGTTAGCTCCAGTCCTCTCTGTAGTGAACTGATATCAGCAGTGTTAGGTGTCCAGTCCTCTCTGTAGTGAACTGATATCAGCAGTGTTAGGAGCTGTCTAGTCCTCTCTGTAATGAACTGATAGCAGCAGTGTTAGGAGCTGTCTAGTCCTCTCTGTAATGAACTGATAGAAGCAGTGTTAGGAGCTGTCTTGTCCTCTCTGTAATGAACTGATAGCAGCAGTGTTAGGAGCTGTCTAGTCCTCTCTGTAATGAACTGATAGAAGCAGTGTTAGGAGCTGTCTAGTCCTCTCTGTAATGAACTGATAGAAGCAGTGTTAGGAGCTGTCTAGTCCTCTCTGTAATGAACTGATAGAAGCAGTATTAGGAGCTGTCTAGTCCTATCTGTAATGAACTGATAGCAGCAGTGTTAGCTGTCTAAACCTCTCTGTAATGAACTGATAGCAGCAGTGTTAGGAGCTGTCTAGTCCTATCTGTAATGAAATGATAGAAGCAGTGTTAGGAGCTGTCTAGTCCTCTCTGTAATGAACTGATAGAAGCAGTGTTAGGAGCTGTCTAGTCCTCTCTGTAATGAACTGATTGAAGCAGTGTTAGGAGCTGTCTAGTCCTCTCTGTAATGAACTGATATCAGCAGTGTTAGGAGCTGTCAGGCCTCAGTCAGTCTGGACCAGATAGTCCAGTGGTTGACGTTGTGAGCAACAATCCACGCGCTCATTTGGTCGTCTTTTTGACAGAATGAAACATCAGTAACATGTAGAAACCTATAACTGTTACTTGTTAAATTGTGTTAGTTTTAATTGTTGCATGACATTTGACAGATTTTGTGCAGGGTCCAAGGGAAGTAACTCTGTCTAATCAACAACAATTTTCTTGCTTTTCAGGAAGCAGATTGCATTGTCAGGGTAAGTTGGATTTGTTTGTTTGTTATCGCTGCACACAGCAATATTCCAGTGATGGCGGTCTTTAAATAATCAAATCTAGACCAGACAATCCAGTGATTGACATCATGAGCATCTATCTATGCAATTGGGATACCAAGACATGCATCAACCAAGTCAGCGAGCCTGACCACCCGATCCCGTTAGTTGCCTCTCAAGACGAGCAAATTCGCCTTTTACGGCAAGCAAGTGTTGCTGAAGACTTATTCCACCCAGGATCTTCACGGGTGCCATAAAATCTACACTTTATCCCAGAAAATGAAAGACCATTATGTCGAAATAGTCAAAATTATGTCTTAGTTTGACAGCAGAAATATTCAACCTCCTAATGACTAGTTCCAATTTTCAAATGTTTTTGAAACTTGTATTGAAGAAATAAAAGAACAATTTATATTGTCACCTGTTTCAACCTTGCTACCTTTGATTTTCTGATGTGCAAAATGACAAAGGGACTGTGTCAGTGTTCTACTGGTTAGAATGTCTCCCTGGAGAGTCAGTGGTTCGATCTCAGGTTGCGTGATACCTACAGATGGTACATGTTGTTACCCTGCCTGGGCTTTGTAATTTTTTAATTTTTTAATTTTTTATTTTTTTGACTGCCTCAGTGGTCTAGCGGTAGAGCGTCCACTTGGAGAGCGGAAGGTCCGGGGTTTGATCCCCGACCGCGTCATACCAAAAGACGTTAAGAGATGGTACTTGTTGTTACCCTGTCTGGCGCTCGGCATTAAGGGTCGAAAACAAGGACTGGTCGGCTCGGAGTCTGTATACTGTGTCTGAGTGGGGTATTCATGTTAAACTGCGGCATGGTATCTCAGTGTGCTAAATCGGCATCAGTCCGAACTAGTACAAGCTGCCACACAAACATGCACACGTGCATGCACGTCGCTATATAAGTGCAATAATCTTGGACGCGACGTTAAACCCCATTTTACCTCACCTCATGTTTCTTGATAAAACAAGGAATGGTTGGCTCAAAGTCAGCATACTGCATCCGAGCAGGGAGTCCATTTAAATTTTGGCATGATGTCTCAGTGGGCTCGGATAAGTCCCCCCCCTTCTTCCCACTTTTTTGATGGAAATACGGTTGGTAGGTCCATGATCCAAGAATAATAAATAATGACTTTGTGTTGACAGCCCCACCCCCCTGATCCTGAATGAGGAGGGTCAGACGATTGATGCTAACACCGGCATGGCAGTTCAGCTGCAGTTACACACTCCCACACTCAAGGTAAGTTTTTATCAAAAAATTATATTTTTTTATCCATTACCTAACCACAGCTTAAAATTTGGGGGCCGTAACCCTCATTCACATCCAGGCACTGGTTGGGGAGGGAACCAGCGGGGGGATCAAAGATGCTGATAGCCTGTGTAGTGCGGTCTCCCTGGCAACAGGTGATGAAGATGCTCCTCCTTGCAGGCCAGGAGCGATCGGATAGCCTAGTGGTTAAAGCGTTCGCACGTCACGCCGAAGACCCGGGTTCGATCTCGACATGGGTACAATGTGTGAAGCCCATTTCTGCTGTCCCCCGCCGTGATATTGCTTGAATATTGCTAAAAGCGGCGTAAAACAATACTCACTCACTCACTCACCTTGCACGCCAACATTCGAACCCTCAATCACATCCAGGCACTGGTTTGGGAGAGAACCAGCGGGGGGAGAAAAAAGATGCTGTAGTGTGGTCTCCCTGGCAACAGGTGATGAAGATGCTTCTCCTTGCAGGCCAACATCCGAGCCAAGCGGCGGGAGCAGTTCAAGGGCCTGATAGACAAGCCGCCGGAGGAGATCAGTGACAGCAAGTTCTTCGACCCCCGAGTCGGGTGAGTTACACGAGTTATCTCCCTTCCTTCAGCAACTTGTGAGAGAAATGGAATCTGACAGACACTCGTGTAGTTATCTCTCTACTTTTCTTCCTCCAGCATAGGGGCGGTCAGGTAGCCTAGTGGTTAAAGCGTTCGCTCGTCACGCTGAAGACCCGGGTACAATGTGTGAAGCCCATTTCTGGTGTCCACCGCCGTGCTATTGCTGGAATATTGCTTAAAGCGGCTTTAAACCATACTCACTCACTCACTCACTCCTCCAGCATTGTTTGATGAGAGTTATCAAAGTCATACGCTACCTGTCCTTGGTAGACTGATATTTTGTCTCAGGCAGTGGCCGTCATTGGTTCCATACAGATTCAGTTAGGATAAACTTTTATATGTTGTATCCTCCTGTTGGAATCACGGGTGGCCCAGTCGTCTAAGGTGCCTCAATTTGCTGTGCTGAGTAGCCTCCCTTGGGCACTCCAGGAACCTATGATTGTGGGTTTGAATCCAGGTTCGCCCTGATTATGTTTCTAGGTTTGTCACCCATACTCATGGGTTTGACCATACTGGTATATGTCTGAATCCTGCATGGGGCACGGGTGGCCCAGTTGTCTGAGGTGCCTCAATTCGCTGTGCAGAGTAGCCTCCCTTGGGCACTCCAGAAACCTATGATTGTGGGTTTTAATCCCGGTTCGCCCTGATTATGTTTCTAGGTTTGTTAGCACCATACCTGTGCTTTTGGGTTTGACCATAGTGGTAAACGTCTGAGACCTGCATCACTTGGGGCTTTCCTCCCCCATTAAGCTGACACGCTGTGATAAAACTGGGATACTGTTTAAAGCGGCGTCAAACCAACTCCCTCCCTCTCACTTACTCACATCCTCCTATGCTACAGTGCTAAGGGTGCCACGAGACAGAAGCGATCCTTCAAGTTCCATGACAAGGGCAAATTCGAGTCACTGGCCCAGAGGCTCAGAACAAAGGTAGGTTGTCTCTGTGATCATGTTGCAGTCTTTATTATTTCCATGCAGAACTGCCAGTTTAACTCTGTTTTAAAAATACAGAAATCAGGTATGCAGTCTGTGCTAATCTCATTAAAATCAGATCTTGGTTCTCGCTACCGCTAAACAAAGATCTAAGGACATTCCATTTCGGGTCACGTCAGACCAACCTCGCACGAACTTTGACCGACCAATGGAATGACCAATCAGAAGGCAGGTTTCTTGTGCTTTATGGCACTAATTTCAAATTGGCGACTACGCTTCGAAACATATTTTGACAAATTCTCGATTACAAATTTGAAACTTGAACAAAAAAACATTCTGGAATGACTAATAGATGGTCTAGATTGTAAGGATTCAGTCGTTAAACCCGTAAGTATCATTCGGAATACCTCATGTTAAAGTTTTCGAGATTGTATGATTAGAAATCACATTCCGACTGTCACTTTCATAATCTGGTAAGCGACGCACTGATTGGTCGGATGGAAGGTCGTTCTGACGTGACCCCAAATGGGATGTCTTCAGATCTTTGTTTAGCGGTAGCAAGAACTGAGGTCTGATTTTAATGAGATTGGTTATCATGTGGTCATGTTCCATTGTTTGTTGATATATTTTAGTAATGATTCTGAAATCCATCAGCCATTGATCGGATGTTTCACAAATGACTTGACCACAGGATTTGAGCAACAAACACACAGGGCACTATTGTAAGTTTTGTACATTTAATCCCATCTTCCCGAGAGTTAACTGACTATAAAAGTCCAGTTTCCACCCTTGCCGAACTAGGCTGGAATTCCTGGGCTCGATCGTAGCGCCACCAGTGGCTATTAGGAGTAATGACCTTTCCAAGCCTCTCCTATGGACCAATCAGATTCCACCTCTCGTATCACTTGCATTTGCGTCAAACAAAATGGCGGCACCCAGTCAAGACGATCTAATCGATAATCAAGATCTATATTGAGATAAAACAGGTCTTACGTTGCGAAATGCATCAAATCAGGTGAGCACCTTCATTAAAAACATGAAAAGACTTGGAAAATATCTCTTGACAACGAGTTGGCGGTGCACATGCTTTGCAAATCCTGCATTCGACCGAAATCTGCACGACAGTTTACGAACTGGATTTCGATTCCGTTGCGCGATTTTGATTGGACTATGCATAGACTCGTCAGTCCAGCCAAAATGTAACTAGTTCGGCAAGGGTGGAAACTGGACTTTCTTAAAAAGTCAGTTAACACCTTTGCCGCGGGAAGATGGTTTAATCCAGGAACTTTACATTCAAAAATTGAAATGAGTGAAATAAATATTTTTGAGACAGCGAGTGACCCCCAGTTATGATATAAAATAAACTTGCTTCATGAACTGAGAGCAAGTTTCATGTGTCAATCAATAAATTATTGTGAGGATGTCTTGAGTCTGTGTCTCAAAAGAGTACTGGTTATGTCAGAAACCTGTGAAGGCGGGTTAGAATCCCATCTTTGATGATGTTTCTAGATTTGTCGACCACCTCCGTGGTCTAGTGGTAGAGCGTCCGCCCGGAGAATGGAAGGTCCGGGGTTCGATCCCCTACCACATCATACCAAAAGACGTTAAAAGATGGTACTTGTTGTTACCCTGTCTGGCCCTCAGCATTAAGGGGCTAAAACAAGGACTGGTTGACTGTGTCTGAGTGGGGTATTCATGTTAAATTGCGGCATGGTATCTCAGTGAGCTAGCACTATAAATCGGCATCAGTCCGGACTAGTAAAAGGAGCCACACACACATACACGTACATGCACGTCGCTATATAAGTGCAAAAATCTTGGACGCAACGTTAAACCCCATTTCACCTCACCTTCCTTTTAGGTCGGGGGTATATAGTTATACCAAGGTTCTGTCCATCCGTCCGTCTGAAAACTTTGTCTGCGCGATTTCTCTTAAACTATTCAGTGGATTCATCTCAAACTTAGTACATATAATCTGTGTCATATGGAGGGGTGCAGTCCAAAAAAATAAATTGTTTTTATTAATTTTCCATTATTTTTAAGAATTTTTCAAACCCTAACGTCCGTCTGAAAACTTTGTCTGCGTGATTTCTCTTAAACTATTCAGTGGATTCATCTCTAACTTAGTACATATAATCTGTGTCATATGGAGGGGTGCAGTCCAAAAAAATAAATTGTTTTTATTAATTTTCCATTTTTTAAATGAATTTTTCAAACCCTAACCCTATCCTAGCTATTTAATTTGAAACTACTGACACACTAGGCGTGTCGGGGGTATTAGTGAGCCACGCCCACTTTTTCTCTTGTTTTAAGCCTGTGTTTGGTTTACTAGCCAAACATAGAATAGACGTGGACCATTGTAGCTGTAGTGTAATTCACACTGGTCTGCTAGGCAGAGACTGCTAATTTTTGCTGAGGACAAGTGAAACTCCAATGATGGCGGTAGTCCTCATTGATAGTAGCATTTGAGGGTTTGTTTCCCAGAGCTACAGATAAGCTGCGTATTTGCATAAAATACCCCCCCAAAATATTCAAAACCCAATTACTTTATATGAACTTGCGTTCAGAAACGCATGAAAAACTGAAATGAAAAACTCCAATGTATAAAAACAGCATGCGTAAAACGGAGCTTATTTCCGAAACACAATCACGAGCTAATTTAGTCAAGCCTTTAGTTAGAACCCTTATATACATCTAAAATATTTTTTATTTTTTTTGAAATCTCAAAATGTTAGCTCATTTGGAGAAAAACCCAATAGAGTGATTAATAGATGAGTGAAAAAATGTAATAACCCAATTAAAATAGAAACCTTCGAGTAAAAACTCAATTGCTAAAAAAGTTATCTGGAGCTCTGGTTTCCTGAACATGTTCCCGATGCCTTCACAAACTGGAACTGAATATAATGTGAGCATGCATAATGTTTTTGTCTTGTTTAAGCAGGACACAAAGTTCCACTAGTCCTTTTAAAAAACGGCGTTTCTGAGGCTGTGATAATTTGTGTGGGAGTGAAGTCTGTAGATGTATAGCAGTAGAGGGGTCACAGTCAGTGTTGGTATTCTGGTTCCCAAGCAGAAAATAGACTTGGACAGTTTCTGTTATGAACCGATTTCATATACGCTGAATGTAATATTGTCATTTGGTGATTTGCTGTTAGTCACTGTATGTATTGTGTTCCTCAGGCCCAGCTCGACCGGCTGCAGAATGAGATCGCTTCAGCTGCCAAGAAGACGGGTATAGCCTCCGCTGCCAAACTGGCAACAATAGTGCCGAAGAAGGAGATAGTGAGTATATTGTCTGTCCATGAGAGGTATAGCCTCCGCCGACCTGTGAAGATCCATGCTCATAATATCAATCACTGGATTATTTCATAAAGCTGGAATACTGCTGAGTGTGGCGTTAAACAACAAACCAACCAGCAACCAACCAACCGTGAAGATCCGGGGTAGAATAGGTCTTCAGCAACCCATGCTTGCCGTGAATGGCGACTATGCTTGTCGTAAGAGGCGACTAACGGGATCGGGTGGTCAGGCTCTCTGACTTGGTTGATGCATGTCTTGGTATCCCAATTGCGTGGATCGATGCTCATGATGTCAGTAACTGGATTGTCTGGTCCAGACTCGATTATTTACAGACCGCTGTCATACAGCTGGAATATTGCTGCGTTACACAACAAACAAAGAAACAAACAAACAAACAAAGAAACAAACCAACCAATAAATAAAGCCTCCGCGGCCAAGCTGGCAACGATAGTCTCAAAAAGGACAAAAAGTGCCCAGCTGCTGATTTGAGGAAGAGATTTTGAACAGTTGCCTCTGTGTAGATCTTGATATATCTTCTGTGAAAGTTTGCTTGAGTTGAGTGTGGTGTGTTTCAGAAAGAGGGAGACACGCCGGACATTGAGTGGTGGGACTACTTCATCACCATTAAGGAATCGTAAGTACACACCCACGTCCTGAACAGGGTTAGAATTGGGAGTCGTAAGTACTCACCCACGTCCTGAACAGGGGTAGAATTGGGAGTCGTAAGTACTCACCCACGTCCTGAACAGGGGTAGAATTTGGAATTTAAGTAAATACTCACGTCCTGAACAGGGGTAGAATTGGGAGTCGTAAGTTCTGCCCCACGTCCTGAACAGGGTTAGAATTGGGAGTCGTAAGTACTCACCAACGTCCTGAACAGGGGTAGAATTGGGAGTCGTAAGTACTCACCAACGTCCTGAACAGGGGTAGAATTGGGAATCGTAAGTACTCACCAACGTCCTGAACAGGGGTAGAATTGGGAATCGTAAGTACACACTCACGTCCTGAACAGGGCTAGAATTGGGAGTCGTAAGTGAACACCCACGTCCCGAACAGGGTTAGAATTGGGAGTCGTAAGTGAACACCCACGTCCTGAACAGGGTTAGAATTGGGAGTCGTAAGTACACACCCACGTCCTGAACAGGGTTAGAATTGGGAGTCGTAAGTACTCACCAACGTCCTGAACAGGGGTAGAATTGGGAGTCGTAAGTACTCACCAACGTCCTGAACAGGGGTAGAATTGGGAATCGTAAGTACTCACCAACGTCCTGAACAGGGGTAGAATTGGGAATCGTAAGTACACACTCACGTCCTGAACAGGGCTAGAATTGGGAGTCGTAAGTGAACACCCACGTCCCGAACAGGGTTAGAATTGGGAGTCGTAAGTGAACACCCACGTCCTGAACAGGGTTAGAATTGGGAGTCGTAAGTGAACACCCACGTCCTGAACAGGGGTAGAATTGGGAGTCGTAAGTACACACTCACGTCCTGAACAGGGGTAGAATTGGGAGTCGTAAGTACTCACCCACGTCCTGAACAGGGGTAGAATTGGGAGTCGTAAGTACTCACCCACGTCCTGAACAGGGGTAGAATTGGGAGTCGTAAGTACACACCCACGTCCACTCACCCTTTACCGTACCAGGATCCTCCAATTTTCAGATTTTATAACCATTGGTCTGTTATTCCACACATAGGGCGGGTCGGTCGGGTAGCCTCTTGGTTAAAGCGTTCGCTCGTCACGCTGAAGACCCGGGTTCGATTTCCGACATGGGTACAATGTGTGAAGCCCAGAGATACCCAGTTGTGTAAAGTGCAGTGAATCAATACAGAGAGTATTGTCCCTTTGGGGTGTCAGGATCAGGTTGTCACTCGTTCACACCACAGATTCTGCCTATATGGTTTCAGATATGAGGAACTGCCTTCAGACAAGGTATCAAGACGAGCCATGTTACAGGGTATCACCATGCTAGTTGAACATCCAGCTCAACTCAGGCCACCTGGTGAGTGAGTTACCTCCCTTGGGGAACCATCCTTGGGGCTGCTCTCATTCTCAACAGGCAAATTGAAACGTTGGTGCTTGGAGAGGCAGTGATCAGTTTTGCAGGAAGTCTTTTCTAGCAATGTTGTATTATCTGTAGATTCTTGGCGTCGAGACCCGTGAAGATTCGGGGTAGAATAGGTCCATGCTTGCCGTGAAAGGCGACTATGCTTGTCCTGAAAGGCGACTATGCTTGTCGTAAGAGGCGACTAATGGGATCAGGTGTTCAGGTTTGCTGACTTGGTTGTTGCATGTCATTGTATGCTAATTGTGTGGATCAATGCTCATAATATCAATCACCGGATTATCTGGTTCAGACTTGATTAAATACAGACCACAGTCATATAGCTGGAATATTGCTGAGTGCGGCATTTAACAACAAACAAACAAACAAACAAACAAACAAACAAAAATCTTGTCCCCCTCTCCTCCTACATATTGGAGGAGTTGTCCGTGTACAGATACTAGAGATGGAGGGATTGACTGATTTTGATGTTGAAAAGGATTATTGTTTGCCAAAAATGAAAGTGCACCCCCAGTATGTCTGCCTCATCACTTCAGATGCATTTTGCTGTATATTTTCATGAGTAAGGAAAGACCAGCTTAACTCGATTCCAGATCTATGATTATTGATGTGAATATTCAGGGCAGTAACCAGCAGAAAGATACCTGGTAGTATCACTGCTTTCCATCTATTGACTCCTCCCTCTGTTGACTCCTCCCCTGCTATACATCTGTTGATTCCTCCATCTGTTGACTCCACCATCTGTTGACTCCTCCCCCTGTTGACTCCTCCCTCTGTTGAGTCCTCCTCTGTTGACTCCTCTGTTGACTCCTCCCTCTGTTGACTCCTCACCTGCTATTCATCTGTTGACTCCTCCCTCTGTTGACTCCTCCATCTGTTGACTCCTCCTTCTGTTGACTCCTCCCTCTGTTGACTCCTTCCTCTGTTGACTCCTCCCTCTAATGACTCCTCCTTCTGTTGACTCCTCCCTCTGTTGACATCTCCCTCTGCTGTTGCAGCTGAGCCCACGAAAGAGATCAGCATCCCTGTGTATCTCACCAAGAAGGAGAGGAAGAAACTGAGGAGGCAGAACAGGCAGGAGGCGGAGAAGGAGCTCCAGGAGAAGATCCGTCTCGGGCTCCAGCCGCCACCGGAACCTAAAGGTGAGCATCAGAACGCTATCTGATTGGCCAGTCATTGTCTTGTAAAACTCTCCTCTTCCAATTAGGCTGGCTGGACTATATAGACATCATGACGTAATGTTTTACCTTGACATCACTTGCTTATTACTTGACAACTGATGCTTTTCTCACTTAGATATTGTGTTCGGTCACAAGACAGAACTTTTTGTCTCGCATGACCCATGAAGATCACGATTAGAATTGGTCTTCTGCAACCCATGCTTGTTGTAAGAGGCGACTATGCTGGTCATGAAAGGCGACTATGCTAGTCATGAAATTCGACTATGCCAGTCATGAGAGGCGACTATGCCAGTCATGAGAGGCAACTACGCCAGTTATGAGAGGCGACTATGCCAGTCATGAGAGGCGACTATGCCAGTCATGAGAGGCGACTATGCCAGTCATGAAAGGCGACTATGTCGGTCATGAAATTTGACTATGCTAATCATGAGAGGCGACTATGCTAATCATGAGAGGCGACTATGCCAGTCATGAGAGGCGACTATGCCAGTCATGAAAGGCGACTATGCCAGTCATGAAAGGCGACTATGCCAGTCATGAGAGGCGACTATGCCAGTCATGAAAGGCGACTATGCCAGTCATGAAAGGCGACTATGCCAGTCATGAAAGGCGACTATGCCAGTCATGAAATTCGATTATGCCAGTCATGAAAGGCGACTATGCCGGTCATGAAATTTGACTATGCTAATCATGAGAGACGACTATGCTTATCATGAAAGGCGACTATGCTAGTCATGAAATTCGACTATGCCAGTCATGAAAGGCGACTATGTCGGTCATGAAATTTGACTATGCTAATCATGAGAGGCGACTATGCCAGTCATGAGAGGCGACTATGCCAGTCATGAGAGGCGACTATGCCAGTCATGAAAGGCGACTATGCTAGTCATGAAATTCGATTATGCCAGTCATGAAAGGCGACTATGCCAGTCATGAAATTTGACTATGCTAATCATGAGAGACGACTATGCTAATCATGAAAGGCGACTATGCTAGTCATGAAATTTGACTATGCCAGTCATGAAAGGCGACTATGCCGGTCATGAAATTTGACTATGCTAATCATGAGAGACGACTATGCTAATCAAGAAAGGCGACTATGCTAGTCATGAAATTCGACTATGCCGGTCATGAAATTTGACTATGCTAATCATGAGAGGCGACTATGCTAATCATGAGAGGCGACTATGCCAATCATGAGAGGCGACTATGCTAGTCCAAAGAGGCCACTAACAGGATTGGTTCTGATGGCGATGGTTCTGTTTCAGTGCGGATGGCCAACCTGATGCGAGTGCTGGGTACGGAGGCGGTGCAGGACCCCACCAAGATAGAGGCTCACGTCAGGGCACAGATGGCCAAGAGGCAGAAGTAGGTCAACTCAGTTTGAGGGGGCAGAAGTAGGTCAACTCAGTTTGAGGGGGCAGAAGTAGGTCAACTCAGTTTGAGGGGGCAGAAGTAGGTCAACTCAGGTCAAGGACAAAACCAGCCAAATCGGTCATCACTAATTTGTCCACTTTGGAATGACAAGACGGTCTGATGTCTGTTTCCTCTTGTATTTGGGTGGGAAATCTATTTCTTGTACAGAGTTACCTCCCTTGGCTGCACCAGAAACCGGTGATCATGGGCATTGATTCCCAGATTCTTGTCATTATGTTTATATGAGTATAGCTGCAACTAACATGATATTGGAATAAATTATTCCTCATAAAATAATAGTTTCAGATACATTTCTTCTGCTCATTGTATCAAAATTGTTTAAAGTTATATTATTGGGTAATTTTTGACCGAATCACCGGTAGATTCAGAGAACCGTGTGTACAGCTGATTGCTACTTTCGGCTTAGTTGACGAGACAAGACGCACGGTAATCTTAATCTCTGCATATAAAACAATGCCAATCAGAACAGGAATGCAATTTAGTCGGCTAATGTGATGTTTTATCTCAAAATTCAAATTTGTATTGGCCAAGTTTAATTGTTATAATCTGTTCCGTTTCCCTGAATTTGCTGAAGGGCTACGATGTCATTTTTTCTGCGGAAGCCAAACATGTTTTTATTGCAAAAGTAGGGATTTTGTATGCACTAGTGATGTGCTATATTCCGATTCGCTTTATAGCCAGGGAAGATAAATTAGCATCGTTTTCAAGCTTGTTTTACGAGACAAGTAACCTCTGGTATGAAACATTGTCCCGCATACAATACACAAATACCATTGAATTTGTATTTGAATACCATCATCATGTCTAGCGATGTTGTATCGCAAGTTTAATGTTTTCATGGACCAAATTTGCAAACAGCAAAGCAAGCACACAAACCCCTATTGCCGCCATGACCATAACACGAGATGCGCAGTAAAGCAGTGCGCTTGAAAAGGGAAGTAACTGCACGTTATATTGGATCACATTGATTCTTAGAATTGTAGCATTTCACTGTTGAGGTCGTGTGTTCGAGACATGGAATATTTAAGGATTTTTTTTTTGAAAATGGAAATAAAAACGAAACGTGCGGCAGACTTAATGATGATGCGGCGGTGCCTGAGAACCAAGAATATTTTTTTTTAGCCTTATGGTTAATAGTTCAAGGGAGGTAACTCTGTCATGTCACAAGATGTTTTTCTCATGTAATGTTACAAACAACTCTCTAAATTTTTGGCTACAGTCAATAAGGGATGATGTTTGTATTAACAGACTTTGTTAAACCCTGTTCACTGACGCTTCATGCCTACAAAAGAAACGTTACAGATACATGAGACCCGTGAAGATCCGGGGTTGAATAGGTCTTCAGCAACCCATGCTTGCCGTAAAAGGCATCTATGCTTGTCATGAGAGGCGACTGACAGGATCGGGTGGTCAGGCTCGCTGACTTGGTTGATGCATGTCGTTGTCCCAATTGCGTGGGGGGCGCGGTTGGGTAGCCTAGTGGTTAAAGCATTCGCTCGTCACGCTTAAGACCCGGGTTCAATTCCCGACGTGGGTACAATGTGTGAAGCCCATCACTGGTGTCCCCCGCCGTGATATTGCTGGAATATTGCTAAAAGCGGCGTAAAACCATACTCACCCACCCCACCCAACAATTGCGTGGATCGATGCTGATGATGTCAATCACTGGATTGCCTGGTCCAGACTGCCGTCAAACAGCTGGAATATTGCTGAGTGCGGCGTTAAACAACAAAAAAACAAAACAGATGCATGCTTTTCTCCAGTTTTACAGGAAACAGTGTTGGACAAACAAGACACATTTTGTTTTCTACAATTTTATTTCGATGCCTGATGATACTCTTCATGATGAATGTTTGAGTTTGAATATATTTTTAATTGAATTTAGTTCTCCACCAGATGTCTCCTGGTGTTGTCATTGAAAATAACATAATTTCAAATGGTTTGCGTTTCAAGATTGTACTAAATTGTGTTCAGGACTAGTGAAAATTCAATAATGGTCGTCCCCATAGACTGGTAGCACAACTCAGAACCAGTTCTCGATGCTTCAAGTTTGCTGAAATTTGAGACGAGTAATATGAGATCGCGAGAACCGCAGGAATGGATCAAGGGGTTAGCGTCTCTGACTTGGTTGATGCATGTCATTGTATTGAGGGGCATGGTAGTCTGAAACATGTATCATAGACCCTTGAACATCCGGGGTAGAATAGATCTTCAGCAACCCATCCTTGCCGTAAAAGGCGACTATGCTTGTCGTAAAAGGTGACTAACGGAATCGGGTGGTCAGGCTCGCTGACTTGGTTGATGCATGTCAGCGATCCCAATTGGGTGGGTCGATGCTCGTGATGTTAATCACTGGATTGTCTGGCCCAGACTCGATTATTTACAGACTGTCGTCATATAGCTGGAATATTGCTGAGTGCGGTGTTAAATAACAAGCTAACAAACAAATAGTGTCAAGGGGTTACCTACATGCGAGCCCTGGAGATCTAGATGATGTAAATGAGAAAAATCAGGACAGTGTTAAGATTTGCCTGGTGTTTGTTTCAGAGCTCACGAGGAGGCCAACGCAGCTCGGAAGTTGACGACGGAACAGAGGCGGGAAAAGAAGATGAAGAAAATCAAGGAAGACACAACACTAGGAGTGAACGTCAATGTGTATAGGTCAGTACCGCAGGACGGCCGAGTTGCAGGACCCGTGAAGATCTGGGTGGAATAGGTCTTCAGCAACCCATGCTTGCTGTAAAAGGCGACTTTGCTTGTCGTAAGAGGCAACAAACGGGATCGGGTGGTCAGGCTCGCTGACTTGGTTGAAGCATGTCATCGATCCCAATTGGGTGGATCGATGCTGATGTCAATCACTGGATTGTCTGGTCCAGATTCGATTATTTACAGACCGCCGTCATATAGCTGGAATATTGCTGAGTGCGGTATTAAACAACAAACAAACTGCAGTCATATAGCATCCCTGCATCCCTGCATCCCAAGCACTTCCTCCTGATGAAAAAATACTGTAAACCAAACTCACTTGATCTTTCCCTGTGTAAATAACCCGTGAAGATCTATCTATCTCCGGGCAGGCTCTCTATCCTCCCGACCTCAGGGCAGGCGCTCTACCCTCCCGACCTCAGGGCAGGCGCTCTACCCTCCCGACCTCTGGGGCAGGCGCTCTATCCTCCTGACCTCCGGGCAGGCGCTCTACCCTCCCGACCTCCGGGCAGGCGCTCTATCCTCCTGACCTCCGGGGCAGGCGCTCTACCCTCGCGACCTCCGGGGCAGGCGCTCTACACTCCCGACCTCCAGGCAGGCGCTCTACCCTCCCGACCTCCGGGCAGGCGCTCTATACTCCCGACCTCCGGGTGGGCGCCCTTCCTTCCCGACCTCCGGGCGGGTGCTCTATCCTCCCGACCCCTGGGCAGGCGCTCTATCCTCCCGACCATGTAGGTGGTCTTCACTTGCAGGTAAAGCCTCCACCACAAATCCTTTTTTCTTGTTACAGAGTTCGTGATCTCAACAACCCAGCTCGGAAGTTCAAGATAGAAGCTAACGCCAATCAGTTGTTCATGACAGGGTTTGTCGTGATGTACAAGGACTGCAATGTGATAGTCGTGGAGGGAGGTAGGTTGTCAAGGCTGCCATTCTTCACATACAGCATGGGGCTACGGGTGGCCCAGTCGTCTAAGGCGCCAAGATTCACTGTGCAGAGTTGCGCCCCTTGGGCACGCCAGAAACCTATTGTGGCTTCGAATCCCGGTTCGCCCCGATTATGTTTCTAGGTTTGTCAGCACCATACCCGTGCTCGTGGGTTTTACCGAAGTGGTAAACGTCTGAGAACTGCATCACTTTGGGCTTTCCACCCATTAATCTGACATGCCGCGACATATCTGTAATACTGTTAAAAGCGGCGTTAAACCCAACTCGCTCACTAATTCACATACAGCATAGAAGTCACATTTGTGGGGGCGGTGGGTAGCCAACTGGTTAGGGCATTCGCTTGTCACGTCGAAAGTCCGGGTTCGATTCCCCACATGGGTACATGTCTGAAGCCCATTTTTGGTGTTTCCCGCCATGGTATTGCTGGAATATTGCTGGAATATTGCTAAATGTAGCGTAATACCATACTCGTGTGGTTTTGAATAGACAATGCCGTTTAGAAATTGGTCAAACGTAACATACCGTATTCGACGTAATAAGTGCCCAGGGCGCTCTCAAAATTGGGGGCACTTATTGGAATATAATTTTGGTGAAAAAGGATGACAGCCTGAAATGTTTATATACGGCAGATATATTTTTCCAGAATTTAATTGCCCATAATTAAGGGTGCATATAACAAACGAGAGCGTATTATACGCGAGTAAATAAATCTTTTGTTCATTGATCAATTGGAAGGGGTGCTTATTGGAATTGTTCACTCGCCAATATATTAGCAAATATCGCCGTGGGCGCTTATTAGAGCAGGGCGCTTGTTACGTCGAATACGGTATGTTATACAGTCAAACAAGGTTGTGTCAAACTTTGATTTATTGAACTTGTGGTTGTTTGGGATTACACATTCTGAGTAAAGTACAAATTTTAGGTCATTTCTTGGTGGAGTCCCATAGGGAATCGAACCCACACTTAAAGAGAAGGCACATAATCGCCAGCACTCAAACCCACTCAGCAACCAAGCCTTTCACAGATTGAAAGTCTGACAACTGGTAGTCTAGATCTTGTACTTTGTGCACCCCTCCCATTTTCCCACTTTGTACTTTCAGACCCGTGAATATCCGGGGTAGAATAGGTCTTCAGCAACCCATACTTGCCGTAAAAGGCGACTATGCTTGTCATGAGAGGCAACTAAAGGGATCGGGTGGTCAGGCTTGCTGACTTGGTTGATACATGAAATAGATTCCAATTGCGTGGATCGATGCTCATGATGTCAATCACTGGATTGTCTGGTCCAGACTCGATTATTTTACAGACCGCTGTCATATAGCTGGAATATTGCTGAGTGCGGCGTTAAACAACAAACAAACAAACAAACAAAGAAACAAAACTTTGTACTTTCGATCTCTACTGGGAAAGTGTAATCCCAAATATGACATTTCTGTTTTTAATGTCATTTTCATGCCACTGGAAACTGTTCACTTTATTGTCACTCTGTAGCGATCTCGGCCAGTGGATTTATTTCTCTGACAGATTTGACTTTACACTGTCAGACCGCCTCCGTGGTCTAGTGGTAGAGCGTCCGCCCGGAGAGCGGAAGGTCCGGGGTTCGATCCCTGGCTGCATCATATCAAAAGACGTTAAAAGATGGTACTTGTTGTTACCCTGTCTGGCGCTCGGCATTAAGGGGTTAAAACAAGAACTGGTTGGCCCCGATGTCAGTATACTGTGTCTGAGTGGGGTATTCATGTTAAACTGCGGTATGGTATCTCAGTGAGCTAGCACTATAAATCGTCATCATTTCGGACTAGTACAAGCAGCCACACACACACACACACACACGTGCACGTCGCTAAGTAAGTGCAATAATCTTGGACGCGACATTAAACCCCATATCACCTCACCTTACACTGTCAGTTATATAATAAAGCTGAGTATTACTGACTTACTATGTGTGTAATCAAGCTGATTGTGTGTGATGTGGAATGGAGTGGTGCTCATGCTATCAACCACTGGTTTGCTTGCCTGACTTGATAATTATAAAGAGGCTGCTGTTATTTGGTTGGATTCACTCACACACTGTTCTGTTCAGGTCCGAAGCAGCAGCGAAAGTTCCGGCGCTTGATGATGCAGAGGATCAAATGGGCTGAGGACACCAAGAAGAAGAAGGATGACGGTTAGAGTCTCTCTCTCTCCCTCTATCTCTATCTCTCTCTCTCTCTCTCTTGTTCTCGTTCTCTCTTGTTCTCGTTCTCTCTCTCTCTCTCTTTTGATCTCTCTCTGTCTCTTCTCGCTCTCGTTCTGTCTCTCTTTTGATCTCTTTCGCTCACTCTCTCTCGCTTTCTCTTGATCTTGATCTCTCCCTCTTTCTCTCTGTGTCTCTCTCTCTAGCTCTTCTCTCTTCCCCCCCTCTCTCTGTGTGTGTCTCTCTTTCTCTCACTCTCTCTCTGTGTCTCTCTCCTCCCTCTTTCTTTCTCTCTCTTCCTCTTCCTCTCTCTCTCTCTCTCTCTCTCTCTCTCTCTCTCTCACTCAAACTTTTCACACCTAACCGTTTTATTAACGTGCACAAAATCTTGCATCTGGAAGAGTGATCCTGTTACTAACCAAAAATATAGGAAAACAACATCTCCAACTGGAAAAAATATTCTTCTGTGTTATCATAATAATCATATTTCATTTTTAATGTGTCTAATATCCAACCAGTGCTTCTCTGTGGCGCTGTAACATATCATTACCCTGGGCAATGGATGGATCAGTGTGCACTTGATATTCATTCTGAGATTCAGGGGTAGAATAGGTCTTCAGCAACCCATGCTTGCCGTAAAAGGTGACTATGCTTGTCGTAAGAGGCGACAAACGGGATCAGGTGGTCAGGCTCTCTGACTTGGTTGATGCATGTCATCGATGCCAATTGGATTGTCTGGTCCAGACTCGATTATTTTACAGACTGCCGTCATATAGCTGGAATATTGCTGAGTGCGGCGTTAAACAACAAACAAACAAACAAACAGTGTAGAGCAGGACTGAAGCCCTAGAAACTCTCAAGCTCTCAAGGAGCTGCCCAACATCTCCTGCTATCTTTGCCCCTCTTACACGTGTGAAAAATGCACTCGTCTTCCCCTGGATGACTGATGTAACATAGCTCTCTTCTTCTTCAGATGACAGTGACTCGGAGGAAGAGGAGGAGAAGTACAACAAATGTGTGCTGGTGTGGGAGGTACGTAGTTGTAGGGGTGGTACGTAGTTGTCATAGTTGTAGGGGGAGGCACGTAGTTGTAGGGGAGGTATGTAGTTTTAGGGTGAGGTACGTAGTTGTAATGGGTGGTACGTAGTTGTAGGGGGAGGTATGTAGTTGTAGGGAGGTATGTAGTTGTAGGGAGGTATGTAGTTGTAGGGGGAGGTACGTAGTTGTAGGGGTGGTACATAGTTGTTGTAGTTGTAGGGTGAGGTACGTAGTTGTAGGGTGAGGTACGTAGTTGTAGGGGGAGGTACGTAGTTGTATGGGGAGGTACGTAGTTGTCGTAGTTGTAGGGGGAGGTACGTAGTTGTAGGGGAGGTACGTAGTTGTAGGGGAGGTACGTAGTTGTAGGGGAGGTATGTAGTTGTAGTGGGAGGTATGTAGTTGTAGGGGGAGGTACGTAGTTGTAGGGGTGGTACATAGTTGTTGTAGTTGTAGGGTGAGGTACGTAGTTGTAGGGGAGGTATGTAGTTGTAGGGGTGGTACGTAGTTGTAGGGTGAGGTACGTAGTTGTAGGGGAGGTATGTAGTTGTAGGGAGGTATGTAGTTGTAGGGGGAGGTACGTAGTTGTAGGGGTGGTACATAGTTGTTGTAGTTGTAGGGTGAGGTACGTAGTTGTAGGGGAGGTATGTAGTTGTAGGGGTGGTACGTAGTTGTAGGGTGAGGTACGTAGTTGTAGGGGAGGTATGTAGTTGTAGGGGGAGGTACATAGTTGTAGGGGAGGTATGTAGTTGTAGGGAGGTATGTAGTTGTAGGGGGAGGTACGTAGTTGTAGGGGTGGTACATAGTTGTTGTAGTTGTAGGGTGAGGTACTTAGTTGTAGTGGGTGGTACATAGTTGTTGTAGTTGTAGGGGGAGGCACGTAGTTGTAGGGGGAGGTACGTAGTTGTAAGGTGAGGTACGTAGTTGTAATGGGTCGTACGTAGTTGTAGGGGGTAGTACATAGTCGTGGGTGGTATGTAGTTGTAGGGGGAGGTTTGTAGTTGTAGGGGGAGGTACGTAGTTGTAGGGGGAGGTACGTAGTTGTAGGGGAGGTACATATTTGTAGGGGGAGGTATGTAGTTGTAGTGGGAGATACGTAGTTGTAGGGGCTGGTACGTAGTTGTAGTGGGTGGTACGTAGTTGTAGGGGGAGGTACGTAGTTGTAGAAGGAGGTACATAGTTGTAGGGGGAGGTACGTAGTTGTAGTGGGCGGTACGTAGTTGTAGTGGGTGTTATGTAGTTGTAGGGGGAGGTACGTAGTTGTGGGGGACAGTGTGTGCTGGTGTTGATGGTCATGATGATGATGACGGTGATGTGTGATTGTGACGATGGTGATGGTCATGACGGTGATGTGTGATTGTGACGAGGTGGTGATGATGACGGTGATGATGATGATGATGATGAAGGTGATGATGACGCTGGTGATGACGCTGATGATGATGAAGGTGATGATAATGGTGGTGATGATGACGGTGATGATGATGACGGTGATGGTGGTGATGATGATGACGGTGATGGTGGTGATGATGATGATGGTGGTGGTGGTGATGGTGGTGATGATGACGGTGATGCTGACGGTGGTGGTGATGACGGTGATGCTGATGGTGGTGATGATGACAGTGATGATGATGACGGTGATGGTGGGGATGATGATGACGCTGGTGATGATGAAGGTGATGATAATGGTGATGATGATGATGGTGATGATGACGGTGATGATGATGACGGTGATGGTGGTGGTGATGATGATGGTGGGGATGATGATGATGCAAACAAATATTTTTCTCAGTTATGTTCCGGTTCTTTTCTTTCAGGGTATGACAAAAGCAAGAGCCTTCTCTGAAATGAAGTTCAAGCTGTGTCCAACAGAATCCTTCGCTCGTGAACAATTCAGGAAGTGTGGTGTGGAACACTACTGGGACTTGGCCTTCAGTGGTGCTGTGTTAGAGACAGCGGGGGAGGAGGTATGATGACCGGGGAAGACACTACTGGGACGCGACAGTCGGTTGCACCGTCTTGAAGAAGGCAAGGATGATGTGTGATGCTTGGATGGGAGAGACAGGAGGAGGCACATGGTTATTGCCTTGAATGGAAACTTCCCATGGAGGAGAAGACGGAGACGTGGGAAGGCAAGGGAATGAGCAGGAGGAAGGTCATGTGAAGAATATGGACACTCACTTCATTCCTCAATGGATAATAGCTATGGAGTGTGAATGCTGACTAGATGTGGTGAAATAACAGATAACGTATACTGAAGCTGACATGTTTAACGCCCAATCTCCTATTGAAGACATGCCTTTCAGATACTTTTATCAGGAGTTTATCAAGGCTCATGTCATGTCCAAGGTGGCCCTCTGTGGTCCACATCTACGGTTAGGGACGTACTTGACGTCACAGCCTGGTGACCTGGGGCCTACTGGATCCGTGTGTTAATCATTAAAGGCGATTTCCTTGTTTGAAACAAAACTTGCTGATTTGGTGAAGATAATCAGAAAATGACAGTCTGCAGTTTGATTGTGAATTTACAGTGAATATAGAAGTGCCAGTTTAACCAGGGTTTTACCGTATTCACAAAGGGTCCTATCAGGCAGTATGAGGGCCCTGTAAATTAATGAAATGGTGTAGTGTAGTGTACGTTTAGACAGCAAAAGACAGGGGTTGGTTTATGTCCCAGGTCACTCACACCAGAATGTCAGAATAACTTGTCATACTTGTGAACGCTGTGGAGCAAGATCTACATGGTCTGGTAAGACGGGAGTTGGTTTATTGTCGATATGTCCCAGATCACTCACTCTAGAATGTCAGAATAACTTGTCATACTTGTGAGCGCTGTGGAGCAAGATCTACATGGTCTGGGAAGACGGGAGTTGGTTTATTGTGAATCATGTCCCAGGTCACTCACTCCAGAATGTCAGAATAACTTGTCATACTTGTGAACGCTGTGGAGCAAGATCTACATGGTCTGGTAAGACGGGAGTTGGTTTATTGTTAAACATGTCCCAAGTCACGCACTCATGTCTGTGCAATGTCTGTGCAATGTCAGACTAGGAAGCCCTGCAAGGTTATTTAGTAGGGTGAGGTGAGGTGAGGTGAAATGGGGTTTAATGTCGCGTCCAAGATAATTGCACTTATATAGCGATGTGCATGCACGTGTGTGTGTGTGTGGCTGCTTGTACTAGACTGGACTGATGCCGATTTATAGTGCTAGCTCACTGAGATACCATGCCGCAGTTTAACATGAATACCCCACTCAGACACAGTATACTGACTCCGAGTCGACCAGTCCTTGTTTTAGCCCCTTAATGCCGAGCGCCAGACAGGGTAACAGCAAGTACCATCTTTTAACGTCTTTTGGTATGACGCGGCCGGGAATCGAACCCCGGACCTTCCGCTCTCCGGACGGATGCCCACAAGACCACGTAGGCGGTCCTATTTAGTAGGGTGAAATGATACAGCAAGGTCACGGTACCTATCACGATACAAACTTCTTGACTATAATTATTTCGGAGCAGGTTCCAAAGGAAAAGCTAGCTGTAAACACATGTTCATAGCGGCTATATATATAGGGGTGACTACTGGTCTGGAAATCACTATTGCGATAACTGTTGATATTGAAAGAAACTATTGCGATAACTATTGATATTGCAGGTAACTATTGCGATAAATATCGATAGTTTTCAGTATCATTTTAGATGGATTTCAGAGCTGAATTAAACCTTGGAACTGAGGTTTCCTTTGAATGTGAACAACAAATAAAAAGTAAAGTTTGAGTTTGTTTTGAGCAGCATTGCTTGTATTTTATTAATATGGTAAATACAATCAAAACTATCGATATTCCGAACTGAAATCGATACTTTTGATCGGAAACTGATTCAACAATCGATTTATTGACTTTAAGTGCTTACCAATAGCAACATATCGATATTTCGATTTATCGTGTCACCCCTTATAATTAGTAGTGAACTGAGAAGTAACACATTTTGCAATATTTGACAGACCAGAAAGCTGGGGTGAGGGTAGGGGTCATTAAACATTAGTAATTAATTAATTTTAGCAATCACTTTTTCTCGTATGGATAAAAAAAACGTATTGTGTATCGTATCATCGCATGAAAACTCACGGTGCACTGATGTATCGTTTCACCCCTATTATTTAGCATATATGGCAGCAATCTGATATGATAGTTAACTGTTATTTGAACCCTGATGATAGCACATTGGCTGTGCAGAGTTTGCCTCCCTTAGTCAAACCAGAATTCTATAATTGAGGGTAAAATTCCTAGATTTATCCTGATTATGTAGAATTCTTGTTGGTACCATTGCCATGCTCCAGGGTTTCACCAAAGTCGTAAACAGTTGAGATCTGCATCACTAAGGCCTTCCTCCAACAATCAGCGACCCGTGAAGATTCCGGGGTAGAATAGGTCTTCAGCAACCCATGCTTGTCGTAAAAGGCGACTAACAGGATCGGGTGGTCAGGCTCGCTGACTTGGTTGATGCATGTCATCGATCCCAATTGGGTGGATCGATGCTCATGATATCAATCACTGGATTGTCTGGTCCAGACTCGATTATTTACAGACCGCCGTCATATAGCTGGAATATTGCTGAACGCGGCGTTAAACAACAAACAAACCAACCAACCAACAATCACCTCCCACTGTTCAATGGGACAATAATCCACTCACCTGTCTGCGGTGCTTGAAGTGTCTTGTCATAATGATGAAATACCAACTCTCTCTCTCCATTGACACTGAATAAAGTTTTCCTTAAGTGGCAAAATATGAATGTTCTGCACATTCTATTTAAAGAATGCAGTATGGTTAAAAACAAACGTTGTAAATATGGAATAAAAGTTTTTCTAAATTTACTTGTTTTGTAATCTTTTCATTTCTTTAGTCACAGAGACTGTGGACGTGCTGTGTGAATATTGTTGCAAGGTTGATTGTCTGGTAAGGGCAGGAGTATGTATAAGACTGCTGAGACGTCACATTGACAGTTAATATTGTTGCAAGGTGGATTGTCTGGCAAGGGCAGGAGTATATATACAAGACCTGCTGAGACTCCACAGCGGACATGTGTTGTGAATATTGTTGCCTGGTGGATTGTCTGGCAAGGGCAGGAGTATATATACAAGACCTGCTGAGACTCCACAGCGGACATGTGTTGTGAATATTGTTGCAAGGGTGATTTTCTGGTGAGGGAAGGAGTATATACAAGACTGCTGAGACTCCACAGCGGACATGTGTTGTGAATATTGTTGCCTGGTGGATTGTCTGGTAAAGGCAAGAGTCTACTCAAGACCTGCTGAAACTCCACAGCGGACATGTGTTGTGAATATTGTTGCAAGGTTGATTTTCAGGGGAGGGAAGGAGTATATATACAAGACCTGCTGAGACTCCACAGCGGACATGTGTTGTGAATATTGTTGCCTGGTGGATTGTCTGGCAAGGGCAGGAGTATATATACAAGACCTGCTGAGACTCCACAGCGGACATGTGTTGTGAATATTGTTGCCTGGTGGATTGTCTGGCAAGGGCAGGAGTATATATACAAGACCTGCTGAGACTCCACAGCGGACATGTGTTGTGAATATTGTTGCAAGGTTGATTTTCAGGGGAGGGAAGGAGTATATATACAAGACCTGCTGAGACTCCACAGCGGACATGTGTTGTGAATATTGTTGCCTGGTGGATTGTCTGGCAAGGGCAGGAGTATATATACAAGACCTGCTGAGACTCCACAGCGGACATGTGTTGTGAATATTGTTGCCTGGTGGATTGTCTGGCAAGGGCAGGAGTATATATACAAGACCTGCTGAGACTCCACAGCGGACATGTGTTGTGAATATTGTTGCAAGGGTGATTTTCTGGTGAGGGAAGGAGTATATACAAGACTGCTGAGACTCCACAGCGGACATGTGTTGTGAATATTGTTGCCTGGTGGATTGTCTGGTAAAGGCAAGAGTCTACTCAAGACCTGCTGAAACTCCACAGCGGACATGTGTTGTGAATATTGTTGCAAGGTTGATTTTCAGGGGAGGGAAGGAGTATATATACAAGACCTGCTGAGACTCCACAGCGGACATGTGTTGTGAATATTGTTGCCTGGTGGATTGTCTGGCAAGGGCAGGAGTATATATACAAGACCTGCTGAGACTCCACAGCGGACATGTGTTGTGAATATTGTTGCCTGGTGGATTGTCTGGCAAGGGCAGGAGTATATATACAAGACCTGCTGAGACTCCACAGCGGACATGTGTTGTGAATATTGTTGCAAGGTTGATTTTCAGGGGAGGGAAGGAGTATATATACAAGACCTGCTGAGACTCCACAGCGGACATGTGTTGTGAATATTGTTGCCTGGTGGATTGTCTGGCAAGGGCAGGAGTATATATACAAGACCTGCTGAGACTCCACAGCGGACATGTGTTGTGAATATTGTTGCCTGGTGGATTGTCTGGCAAGGGCAGGAGTATATATACAAGACCTGCTGAGACTCCACAGTGGACATGTGTTGTGAATATTGTTGCCTGGTGGATTGTCTGGCAAGGGCAGGAGTATATATACAAGACCTGCTGAGACTCCACAGTGGACATGTGTTGTGAATATTGTTGCAAGGTTGATTTTCAGGGGAGGGAAGGAGTATATACAAGACCTGTTGAGACGTTTGGAGCAAATGAACAAATGAAAGCAGTGCCTCCCCCATATAAATGAGTGTATTCGTAAGTTGTAAAGCCACATTCCTACAGACATACAAAGTAATGATGTGTTTGGCGTATTAATAAATATATACATATTTAAGAAAATAACAATAGAGTGGGAGTTGCCAATCGTAAATAAAACACCTCGGGGAGAATACACCATGAGGGGCGCAGTACCTTGGTTTATTGCTGTTACAGGAAATGAAGCTATATTTAAGGCAGTACAATATTATATATGTACAACTAAAAGATTTGTGTAAAGAACTGTTCATTCAACATTTTATGTCTTCTATTTCAATTTGAAATTGTGAAATTTTGTAGGTGAGGTGAAATGGGGTTTAATGTCGCGTCCAAGATTATTGCACTTATATAGCGACGTGCATGCACGTTTGTGTGTGGCTGCTTGTACTAGTCCGGACTGATGCCGATTTATAGTGCTGGCTCACTGAGATACCATGCCGCAGTTTAACATGAATACCCAACTCAGACACAGTATACTGACTCCGAGCCGACCAGTCCTTGTTTAAGCCCCTTAATGCCGAGCGCCAGACAGGGTAACAACAAGCACCATCTTTTAACGTTTTGTGGTATGACGCGGCCGGGCATCGAACTCCGGACCTTCCGCTCTCCAGGCGGACGCTCTACCATAAGACCACGGAGGAGGTCTGAAATTTTGTAAATACCAGGGAGAGGGCATTCTAAGTTGGAAGAACTTGTCCCCCAATCCTGTTCACTCCTTGTGAATAAATATGTTGAAATAAAAAAAACCCCTAGGTTTATACATTTCTCCAAAACTAATCTGGCCTAATATATTTCTTAAATCTAAACTCCAGCTTATAATGTCGCTCCACGTGTAGTGTTCATTAAGTCATATGTATATATTCATTAACACGCTAAACAAATATACCCAGAGAGCAAAATTGACGAGAGATTATACAATGAAACGTGTATTCAAAATTAGAGGTTAGAAAATAACATCCAGCAATTTTCTTCCTTCTTTATTTGTTCACACGTCAATGGATAAATTAATGACTAAATCATTGAGAATGTTTCATCAACTATTGTAATCATGATTTATTAATTTGTTCTTATTGTGCTTCAGTGCAATCATAACACATAAGGCTTGAGTGGGCCCGTTTGAGTTCTTCTCAAATCATTATGAAGCATGGATGAGACGTTAGTACTACCATGTTGCATCAACTATTGTAGTCATGATATATTTATTCGTTCTTATTGCGCTTCAGTGCAATCATAACACATAAGGTTTGAGTGGGCCCGTTTGAGTTCTTCTCAAATCATTATGAAGCATGGATGAGACGTTAGGACTTGCATCTTTCTAAAGGTAGGCTAAAACGCTGAGTTCAAGAATAAAGGATCTAAATGATCAGAACCAACGCTTCTGAATGTATTCGTTCCCCCTGTAATTTGTCAGCAGTTCGTTAGTGTTTCTGTCATTTCTGGATTACGGTGTGTAAACTGTATGAACGTCAAA